AGACCCATCTTCCTCAACTCGGATAAATTTTCTGAAAAAACATCCAACAGCTGTTGAAACGAAATTGGATTTTCACAATCAACTTCTGGACAATTTTCTAACTCATTCCAGTGAGCCGTAGCTCTGAATCTTTCATTAGTATATTTCTTCACAAGACTTGCATATGCAGTTGCATAACTGGGTCCTTCTAAAGGATGCATCTTTACTAGTGCTAAAGGAGGTCCGTCTGAACACGATACTGAATAATTGATTTTTTCAGAATCATTCAGTGATCCGTTATTATGAACCGTATTGTTGAAAAGATCAATGAACAATGGAAATTCCTTGTAATCACCAGAAAATGTCCTAAGTTCCATTTTAGGTAACCTTATGCGCGAATTATCGGAAATGGAATTCGTATTTTCAACAGTCTGATTCAATTGTAAACTATTTTCAAATAGATCTGCGTATATTGTGCGAATATCATAATATGATTCTAAAAATGTTTCCTTTGAAGTATTTTCCTGATCCAGCTCAAAGTTTGGATCGCTAGATAAACTAACCAAAATATTATTATGGTGTTTCATGAATTCATCTCTGAGAGTTTCTATCTCAGCATATCTAATTTCGAACAAAGTATGTTGAGATTTATTAGTCATGCCAACAATAATAATAGTAATAAAAACAGAAAATTACAAATAAAGACGCAACAAGGGTTCTACCTAAATTATTATTTGTATTTAGAGAAATGATTTTGAATATTTTCTGAAAGTTTACCTGAGTAATTTATGCTACTGTACTGGACTACATTGTGTTCTTGGCAGTTTGGTTATAATTTACTCATAAGTGTTTTGTAAGTTTTAGTTAGATATTGAATTGAAAACCATTATTAACTCTTGAAATATTCAAATCTAAGAAGTTAAGATCCTTATTTTGTTCGATTTCTACTGTGAACTTAATTTTATTATGCAGACTACTGTTATTTCCCACAGATAATGGCAAACAACTTGTGACGAATCTTCCAAGTCGAAGACGTTGCACAGGTGACTGATTGTTTTACTTCAACTCTCTGCGCGGCATTAGCTGGGTGAGTTGTTGTTTTTCCGTTGGGTATGGAATCATATTTATATTTGTTTGGTCGTGATGCTCAGACGGTTCACATCGTTCTGAAGAGACCATGCATGGTACTGATGATGGTGCAATTACACCGAACCCAGTCTATCGGTTGGTCGGATCTACCAAACGAAATTGATTTCTGCTTTTCATAGTGAGAAATAACTTGCGACGAATCTTCCAAGTCGCACAGGTGTCTGATGGTTTTACTTCAATTCTCTGCGCGACATTAGCTGGATGAGTGTTGTTTTTCCTTTGAGTATCTGCCACACGTACCTACAAAGTCGTAGGTCTACCTACATGAGAGGAAAAGGGCAACTTTTAGCATGTCATAATGCACCTCTCCGAAATATTAATCATTTATACTCACTTCTTGAACGTCGGTGAAATTAGAGATAATATCACATACACGGATCAAATACCCGGAAAAACCAGTTCACAAACTTTTATCAAGAAAAACATTTTGTCAAAAAACCCTAAATAAATAAGTTTTCCATAAAATGAAACAATTCGTGGACACAACACTTCAAAAAGGGGGGGCAAATCGCGGACACGTGTTTCTGGCTATTGGCCTCATCAGCGCGGTGCAGCCAAGTGTGAAGATGGGCAACACTTGTTTGCCGAAAGCAGGAAACAACACATACGCACGAATTGTTTCATTTTTGATTTGTATCACACACACTCGATAAAATCTCAATCTGCATATCTATACTAGTAAGTATATACTTTTTTTGTTTCAGATCAATCATTACGTTTTCTCCTGTTTCCATTTGGGATACTGATTTGGAATTATACCAAATGGGTGGTGTGTGTAATGTCACTACTATGGGAATCATTGTTCGTGATTTTCATGGCCCAAGACTGGCGTTACTTTAAAGAAAATATAACACTTTTTCTAACAGGCCAAATGGTAAATGATCAATATTAATTTTTGAATAACTTGCGGTATCAATTGAAGAGACTTATATTTTTGATATAGCGTAACAAGTTTTTTTTTGAAAAATTTCGACTTGAAATAATGTCCAGGTTAACAATAGACCTACGATATTCAATAGATCTACTTATGGTTCACTTTCATCTGAATCATTTTCAATGTTTGACAGAGTTTCACTCTTGTCATTAAATCTGCAAATTCATAGACCAATTAGTTCAATCCCCTACAAACAGTAGGGGATTTATCGAGTAGATTATTGGTTTTCAGGTTGTTACTTGATTAATTTTTTTTATATTGATCCTCCTTTCAATGAAAATGATACTGTCTTTCAGAAATCAATCACAATATCAGCGGGCTATAAACATTGGATAAAAAAAACCGTTGGAACTTAGTTCTAGTTATTTCGAAGCACATTTAGTTGCTGGCACACTGTCAATCCTAAAGAATGAGCAATACGAAATGAGTTTTACAGTAAAAAATTATTTTGAATTGCAAGTTTGAAGGTGAAACACTTGTTGAAGCTTGAATGGAAATCTGTAGTCAACTTCGAAGGTTGAAAATCAAATACTTGAAAGATTCTAAAAATACTAGTGCGAATTGATAATCCAGCTTATGGGAATTTTTGAAATAGTTCCATTTTGGAGAAAGACTAGTGTATGAGAAAATATTTGATAATGAAAAAAATGAAGAAATTCATGAGTGAATAATTAAAATGAAAGTTACCAAGAGACAATTATTCTCGATTGAATCATCAACAATTTGGGTAAAAATCCTAGAAATAGGAAAAGCCCTTCAGAATTGAAAAAATCAGACGTAACATTTTTTTTTTCAATTTGCGTTGATTCATCGAAATGAATAATTGTTTTGAATGAACATTTTTTGAAATTTCAAATACGAAAATAACATTCAATAAAATTACAGAGTAAATGCAGATATATGTAAATCGAATTATTTTTCTAATGGAAGTCTTGCTTTATAGTTGATGGAAGAGTAAGCTAAAATTTCTCTTAGATTCATTTGATTTAGACATAAATTTCTTTCAGCAATAGAGGAAATGAGAATGAGTAATGAGTTGAGGATCCATAAATAAGTTAAAATATAGGATCACTAATGACATTTCCAAGATCACGGAGTTAAAATGTTCGCTCTCTGTTGAAAAAAAATAAGGTGCATTTTCATTTTTCTCAAGAAGTGTTCATTCATTCATCAATTTCTTTTTTACTTGTGATGAATAAACGGGGTTTGATGAGATGATTGCGATGGGAATTTCGTCTTTTGAAAAGCACAATCCCTTTGTATGAAAAATAACTGACGTGAAGAACATTTCTATCAGAGGGAGGTGAAAGTAGTTTTTTTAATCGATTAGATAGTTGTAGATTGAATTTCGTTTCTAAAAGATCGAATATTATAATGTAGTTTCTTGATAGATGAATAATCTACGTTTTCGATCATGTTTCTGTTTTCGTCGTAAATACGCACCTTTAAGGTGCGTATTTAAGGTTTAAGGTTTCATCTTTCTTTATATATTTTATTTTATTTTTCATGATGGGTGGTCAAATAAAATCGAATAGTAGACAGAAGCGTGGATGGGAGAATTTCGTGGTAGATAATTAAAATAAGATTTTGTGGTAATGACCAAACTGGAAAATTCATTTTGATCATAGTGGTTTTGATAACAAGTTTGCAAAAGGAAATTGTGTTTTTGATAAGAATTATCAAAACGGATGTGAAACCAAATGCAGGAATTTTGTGGGTTTGAAAACAG